GGTGCACGGGGGAAAGGCGGGGGCCGGGCATGTTCCTAAGGCCGTGCCGTCACCGTTTCTTTCCTCCTCCCTGAGAACGAGGGCTGCGGGCCATGGGCAGGGTAGCCCGCTCCTGCTGCGGCTCTGGGGGTGCCCTCCTGTCCCTCTGCCGGGTAATTTTGGAAGGCGGAAACTGGTAAGTTGGGGTTGAGTGTTGCTGCAGCAGCCCAAGCTATTTCTACCTGTGAATCAGCCTTTTTTTCAGTTATAGCAGTAGACTTGTAGCAGCTCTTAACCCGTGTATGTATATATTTAGTATAACTTTATTGTACAGACTTTAAGTAAGTATCCCTTTTGCTTATTATCTTTTAAACAGCTGCTGTCTTTTAAAATAGCTGTTTAAACAGCTGTTATCTGTTCAAGCAGGTGTCTTTTCAAAATTCTGCACATTAAAGAGTGCTGCTAGTTTAGCTAGACAAATTTAGGTTAGAGGTTTACACTAGATGGATAGGCAGGGATAGGCAGTCTGTCTCTTCAGAGTTGTTTCACTGCTGTTTTGCTATGGCTTAAAAAAACCCTCACTACTTTTGCTGCCACTTTATGCCTGAAGTGCCTGCCTTTCAGCAGCAAGTGAAGCGGTCTTGGGACTCTATGCGGTAGAATGGTGACCTGGGTGCGAGGTGCCCGGGCTGCTTCTCCTGAAGGCAGCTCAGACTGCGTAGAACTCACGGCCTTGCTCAGCACGAGGCCTGCTTGCTGTGAGGCCCTGCCAGATTTAAACTGGTTCAGTGTGTTTGTGGAGTGCTGCATCAAAGCTAAAAAGCTCTTCCAGGACTACAGATGCTCTGAACGCAGCATATATGCATTCTGCAGTGCAGTTACTGCTAATGCCCTTCTGGATACCTGCCAACCCAAGTTGGCAACTTGCTAAGACAGCTTAAGTGTCTTTTTGTTTGTAGTGTGGCTCACAACTTGGATGGACTGTACGTGAAAAGTTATATTAATTTCTGTACTTGGCATCCCTTAGTAATTCTAAAGGCTTATAAATCTTTAATGTGCTAGAGAAAGCAGTTGATATTAAAATGCTTAAACTCATCCCCTTAGCATATTGCATTATTCTATTGTAAGGCTGTTGGAAGAAGCTTTTGGAGTTCCGCAGTGGAAACGTTTGTTAGGATATAATTAACTTTCTGTATTTGGAGATCCGTAGAACTCTGGAAGCTAATTTTAAATTTTGAGTGTTCACCTGGCTGCTATATGTTGGTCATCCTATCAAATTTCTTAGTTGTCATATCCAAGTGTTCTTGTTAAGTTTTGTCCATGGCTGCAGTTTTAGCAGCTCAAAGCTTACTGAGATGCAAGGCTATTTTTCAAGGTGGTTTTTTATTTTGTGTTACTGTGATTTTCATGGGTAATGAGCTTGAAAAACATTTTGAACATCTGTTTTGCTGACACTGTTTAGTAGATCATATTGATGATAATGCTTTTTCAGAATTACTCTGCAAAAATGTGACTTGTCATGTAGAAGTCCTTTTCCAGCAAAGTAAGAAGATGGACATCCATATCTGTTAGTGTACTGATCTGCAAATATTTTACAGGCATAGTTCCTTAGGAAGCATAGACTAATTTTTTTATGAAAGATCGAGATGGCATAGTAATGTATGTCACTTCGGAATTGCCTGTACGTACACTGTCCATTAAATCTACAATGTGTAAATATATTTATTCGCATCATTTGCCATATCTGAGGTCTGTATTTAGACTGAATTTATTTATCCTACATCTTCCGAAACTTCCGGAGACTTGGTTCTGCGTTGTAGCCTCAGTATCAGAGGGGTTAGACTGGCAGTTTGTTTTTTTTTTGTTGTTGTTTTGTTTTTTTTTCTTTATAACCTGCTAACTTTGTGACAATATTAACTCTCAATTAGGCAAAGCGGTCAGGAGGTTGGCTTACATGGGTGACTTATCTACTTTGGAATATATCTTTGTAAGCCTTGCTTTTTGGGGCCTGTACAGCTAGTAAATCTCAGTGTGTATGTAATGAGCTTCTTTCTATCTTGCCTAGGTTGGAGCCCTCTCTCTTAAATTACGAAAGAATACAGCTAATGATGTATTACTCATTTTACTAAATGGACCAGTCTTTCTTGTCTGTTTTCTTCTCTACCCATTTGAGGGGGGAGGGAGGGGAAGTCCAGAAAAACCTTGAAAACTGTCACCTGCTTCGATTACAGAGGCTCTCATTATTGGGAAGTTTGCTTTCAGTTCTGAAAGGAGGAACTCAAATGTGAGGTTCTGAATTCAGCTATCAGCAAGGGAGTAATTTCAGCTGGGTACGAGAAAACAACTGTGAAATTGGAAGATAAACAAGAAGAATCTGAAGTGCTCCATTTCCACAGTAACATTTCTATGGTGTTGCAACTTTTTTGCTTTTTAGACAAATTTTGGTTTGCCCTTTTTCAGGATTTTAGATTGCTGTTTCTGCCATGAGTTCTCCTGAATATCTTGCCACTTTGTATAGGAGGTGGAGTGGTTTAGCATGTTGACTAGACTATGCATACCCTGCAGAAATTAATTTTTTATGGTTTCTTAACTATAAGTTACAGTATGCATTAGGCTTATGTGTAAGATTTGTACCTGTAGTGAACAAAAATAGCCTGGTTTTCCAACAAAGCTGTTAAAAAATACAACGTGAATTTTGCTTATTAAAATGGAAGTACGTTTGTAGGGTTACTGAAACGGGAAATTCAGTTTGATTTAGTGTAAGGTAGATAAAATAGAACTGATCAATAATGTTCAATTTTGCTAACAAAGTATTTTGTTTCTGATCATACTGTCTTTGCAGGATGCAGAGCTTCTAGGCTATTCTCTTTGATTTTATCTGTCACATAGCATATTGCTGATAAGAAAATAAGAAGCAGTTAGCATTCTTTCTGGAAGTCTGTCTGGACTGTTTTTTCATGGTGAATTCAATGCACAAATATTCCAGACAGTGAAATGCAATGTGGTATCTCTGTTTTTAAGTAGGCCATCAGAATAGCCTAAAATTAACTTCAGGCCACTAGTTGCTAAAAATAACTCTAAAAAAAGTAAAACTTGTGTGCTTTCTGGAATTGAAATGAAAGCGGGTTTCTTAACCCAAGAGATACTGGAATAATTAATTTGCGAAGGCATAGCTTCAACTAGTTTTAAATTTAATTTTTAATTGTTTTCCAGATTCTTCTGAGTTGTACTTGAAGCCGCCAAAATGGTTCTAGCAGATCTTGGAAGAAAAATAACTTCAGCATTACGCTCACTGAGCAATGCTACGATTATCAATGAAGAGGTATGTAGTATGCATACGTGATGGCACTAACATTTAGAAAGCAAAGTTCTGAGAAGTTCTCAAAGGCTGATGAGAAGCTTGAAGTAGGTTGATGTTATCCCGAAGCTCTTTTCTTCCTTCAAGTAAACTTTCTAGCTAGAGGTTTAAACCCCCTGATAGTACTGCCAAAACTTAGAACCAGGTTTAGACATGTATAATCACTTCAGGCATAGTGGGTCCCATGGTCAAAGGGTCCTTGAGCCTGGTGGCTGTACTTATGGAGGTTAGTGTTCTGAGGAGGTGAACGCTGGAGGAGGCGGCGATGTGTGCCCAAGTTTGGGTGGAAGGTAGGCTGTGAGACTGCGCGGAGTGCTCCGATTTATGTGTGTGTGTGTCCAGCCAGGCTATGGAGATGTGTACTAGGCTGCTAGAAGCTGAAGCATGGAAGAATAAATAGTTTTCAATGTAAACTTTGCTGTCTGAAATGTGAGGATTATGTTATGTTTGCTGCCTTTATATTCAAGCCAATACAGTGTGTGTTCTGGAAGCAGTTTGACTTGGTATAGTCTGTATTGAAATTATAAATGTTTTCTGTTATATGGACTGAAAAGCAAGATGGAAAACTAACTGATGTGATGGTTTAGAAGTGCCTCTGAGTAAATAAATTGCTAGAAACTCTTTTCAGGCATGCAGACACGTGGCTTAAAGTAACTAAAAAGTAGGCTTATTGAGGGTTGTAGGGTTGGAACTTGTGCATAGAGGAAACGTTTTAACAAATCTTCGGTTAGGAGACAACAAATCCTTAACTGAATCAAATACAGCCCAATTAATTTTTTTCAGCAGTAGAAACTTTTCTCCTGCAAGAGCTCAAGCTGTGCAAATGAGGCAGGTGTTACTTTCAAAACACTTTTTTGTTCGAGACTTTTCACTTTGAAAAGTCTTAGAACTACTAAACTGGATTCTGAACTGAGGCACCTGTTTGCCTAAAAGGTGTACCCCAGAGCAGGAGTCCAGTTTCTGCTGAGAATGCAAATAGCAGCGTGTCCATCTTGCATTTAAGGAATACTTTTATTTACAGAGATTATGTTGTGTTAAGAGATTCTTTTGTGGCTTCCTGTTACAGCTGTCTCTAAGGAGTACCTGTTGGGAAGTTTAGGAAGCCTTGCTACCGTACGAGCTGCTGTTGTCCTTAATGCAATAGGAAGTGTTCTGTGTTACTTTGTTATACTGTGCCTATTACAAATAGAGGACCCTTCTTTTCCAGTATTACCCTTTGAAATTTAAATTGCATTTACATAGGAACAAATGCATAGACTTTTTTTTATGTGGCAGTCAATATGATGATAGGACTGCATGAATTTAATTTGTAAAAGCCTTGGTTATATCATAAATACACTTTCACATTCATATTTTGAACTAATACTGGCCTAGTCAATACTGTGTATTATAACACCATTTTTCCTTTATACTCCAAAGGTTTTAAATGCTATGTTAAAAGAAGTGTGTACAGCATTACTGGAAGCTGATGTTAATATTAAACTTGTGAAGCAACTCAGAGAAAATGTCAAGTAAGTGAAAAAATCAAAATGCATTTAACTTCTAATGCTTGTAAAAGTTGTAATTTGAGGTTACAGAAGAATACCTAACTTCTATCTTAATATGGTTTTCTTAGACACATCCAGTTTACCTTTAACAGGAAAATACAGTTTGAACTAAATGTCTAGCCAATTCCATCAAAAGAATCTTTGTCAAGTTTAGCCAGTTATTGTTGTTCTAGTCTTGTTTCAAAAAACTGTTGCTGTCATCAGTTGAGTGGTATGATAAACAAGTTCTTTGTTACTTCCTAGACACCTCATCTTCACGTGTTCTGTGCTGGATATTAATAGATCTGTGTATAAGATCAACACTGTTACTTTGCTATTTTCAGATGTGCAATTCAAGTAGATGCAAGTCTGAAAGATGCAAGTATTTCAGAAACCTGGTTTTGTCCTGCATGCAGAAGTAGTATCTCCAATGCATGTCTCTTAAATACGTCCTATCTGAAAACTCAAGGCAAATCAGAGTGCTGTTCCAGTTGCAAAGACTTCATTTATCACTAGGTTAAAGTGATGCTTTAAGTTATACCAGTGTTTTATGGTTTTCCTAAACTCAGGTCTGCAATTGATCTTGAAGAAATGGCATCTGGCCTTAACAAAAGAAAAATGATTCAGCATGCTGTCTTTAAGGAACTTGTTAAGGTAGGACTTCAAAATTCTGTATTACGTCACTTTTGTACAGCCTGGGCTGTGGAAGCAGTACAGTAGCAAGCCAAGCTTTAAGGTTATTGTGTGGTACCTACAGTTACGTTTTCTGTTGGAAGGCTACTTACTACTGCAAACACTGGTAGTATTCTGATTGAAACTACTTCCTGGGCATCTCTCAGACTAACTTTGATTTAAGCTTCAAGTCCAGCTATTCTTACTCTTCAATTGAAGTTTCAAGACAAAATAAGGGTAAAGTACTATTAGCTTCTGGACTGTCTTTGGTTGTCCCAGAAACACGCCTTTGCTACCCGAATGAAGATTTGTTCAAACTACTTATAAGCCTTTGAAAAAGTGTTAAGTAACAACCCAGCAATTCATGGTAACGTTTCTCTTTAATCTGCCTGCTTGGTCAAATCAGCGCCTGGGTATCAGTATTCTGTCCTCTTTCCAGTTGACAGTATAGTCTTTTGTTCTTCTGTAGTCTGTGCCCACCCATATGATGGCTCTCTGGAATGTATGTACCTTCTGCTCATCTGAGAAGTGAGGCAGCAACCCTAAAAAGTCGTCTGTACTGTAGGATTCTCACCAGAAGAGGTCCATCTTGAGCAGTGATGGTGGGGTGGAGGTTATGTTTCTGTGTTGGTTATCATATATACAGGCCACCCTGACTTCGGTGCTTGGTGTTAGAAAGAAATGAACACTGTTACTGTTACAGAATTATTGTGCATAACTCTGTACTATAGATATCTTGCATGGGCTGTTGCTGTTCACTGTAAATCAGCAAGCATCTAAGCCAAATTAAGACTAGAATATGCAAAAAATGGCTTGCTCCATTGAATATAAAGCCAGGTACCTAGCATGACCGTGACATTGACTGTTGTACTTCTGAAATTCCGTTCTGCAACATAGATTGTACTTTGTTCTATAGCTTGTAGATCCTGGAGTCAAAGCATGGACACCTACCAAAGGAAAACAGAATATTATAATGTTTGTTGGTTTGCAAGGAAGTGGTAAAACAACGACCTGTTCAAAGGTAACTTGCACTGAATCTGATGGCATGGGTTTTTTTCTTGGGGGGTGGGGGTGGTCATTGGATTCCTTTGGTAGGATTTGCTTGTCATCTGTGCTGTTTCTGTTAATAGGAAAGTACTAACTGATTACAACGTAGAGATATTTTTGCAGAGTGGTTTCTGAGATGAGACGAATGTCCAATTCTTTTGGGGCAATTTATGACTTGTAGGACTTCCTTCAAGACTTTGGTAAACTAAACTCTTGATGAAATGATACTGTACAGGTATAACAAAGATTCTTTCTATTCCTCGGTTTCTGGGTTTAAGACTAATGCTATGAATGGAATCTACCTCATTCCATTACCTATTTACAGGAACTAGTGGAAGTTGGCCCCTGTGTTAGATATCACAGTTAAGTATGAGTGGTGTGAAACCTGTTCTAGCCCCAAATTAATTGAGGAAATTTGGATTTGTATTTTTAAGGCTAAAAAAGAAGGCTTTGAATCAACACTTAACCTATTTATGATGGTTGTTGGGAGGAAAAATTATCGTATGGAAGAAGATTGATGCATCTTCTTTTTTTTTTTTTTTTTTTTTTATTCATTTGCTTCTGAGATTCACGCATAGGCTATACCGAATATATCACTGCTCTGATTTCATAAGACTTTCCTAGTGCTTCTGTAGGCGAACTATATTTTGGAAGTTTGTCTTTGGTCAATCAAACGTTCTGTGAATGTACATTGTACCAGTAGAAGCTGAGTGTTACAATAAAGTAAGGATTCCATCTGTTGCTTTTAAACATGTCCTTACAATGGAAATATTTTTGTTCCTCCGGAAGTACAGAAACAAAGAGCTGTACAAGTTGTAGCCATTACAGTACTTAATATTGAAGTAATTACTGCTTTGGGGAGTTTCTAAGAGCTAGTCCTATCTGCAATGTTAACAGTAAGCAGAATCTAGGAGTTAGTAAAGTGGGAACTGGAATTATTTGTAGTCATTCCTAGCTCAGGAAAATGAAATCATAAGCAGAATCAAGCAGCTGTTTTCATCTCGCCTTTAATAATTATATGTATAACATACTTTTCTAAATAACGGAGATGCTAACATTTGATTATTTGTACAGTGTTACTAAGTGGTCTCAGTTATAGGAAGGCTGGCTTGACTTTTTGTCCTCTGTACTTCAGTGACTTATAAGTCTGTTATAAGTTATACAATGTCATGCTTTCTAGTGGGATTTTGGTGTAACGAGTTGTTTTGGATTTCTTTTCACAGTTAGCATACTTCTATCAGAGGAAAGGTTGGAAGACGTGTTTAATATGTGCAGACACATACAGAGCAGGTCTTACAGTCTTTAATGATGTGGTTCTTTATCTCTAACAATTACAGATTTTTTTTTTTTTTAAATAGTCCCTTGACTATACCTGTCTTACAGGTGCTTTTGACCAGTTAAAGCAGAACGCCACAAAAGCAAGAATTCCCTTTTATGGGAGGTAAGCATCTTTCAGAATCAGTTTGGAGAATGATTCAACTCAATGATGTTTTGTTCCTTATTGAACATCTCGCACTAAGGCCCATTGAGTGTTGCCTAGTTACTTAGATTTTATTATAATATTTGCTCTGATCAGATGAAAATTGTGCCTAGTTCAGTATATTGTCTGTCAGTAGTAGCAGGTAGGGTTAGTGTAAGAAGAGATCAGGGGAATAATTCCCTAGAATGTTTTCTCAGCGTATAACAATTTATAGGCCTTTACCAGACACATTCAGATTTTCAGGAAGTATCTTTACAGATCAAAGGATATGATTTTTGGACCCTTAATTTTTATTGTCAAGTAGGGGCAGCAGTGGAAGTAAAATAGCTTTTATAAAAGCAGTAAGTAACTTTCCTCTAAGGTTCACTGGAGGTGTACTGTCTAGGTGCTCAGTTAAATCTTACTTCAGAGAAGGGCTAGTAGAACTTAGTGCAGTCTTCAGGTGAGACAGACAGTCCTTTGTGCTTCAGTTCACTGAATAGTAAGGGCAAATGGCTTAGGAAAGCATATTTTTAATCAATTTTTGCTTGACATAAGAGGAAGTCCCCCTTGAAATCCAGGTAGATTTACGGTTAACAAGTTTACAGTCAAGTAATGAAAATTTGAATTAATTTCTTTGGGAACAAAGAATTGCGTATATATATATTGATATTTCTCTTTGTGATCAGTTATACAGAAATGGATCCTGTAATTATTGCCTCAGAAGGTGTTGAGAAATTTAAGAATGAGAACTTTGAAATAATTATTGTTGATACAAGTGGACGTCATAAACAGGAAGACTCTTTGTTTGAAGAGATGTTACAAGTTGCTAATGCCATAGTGAGTAGTTTCAAGAAATACAGTAACTTCCTTTATAATAGTTCGACTGCAATTCACTTATGTTTGTCTCCTAATGTTCTGTGTGGATTTCACTCCTCTGGAATGTGTCAGCGCTTTAACTCCTAGAATATGTTAGAAATTACAAACGGATATGAATAAACAAGGGCTGGATGATCAGTGCTTGATAGTTCTGTGTCAGTTTTAATTCTTGTATCTGTAATTCAAGGATGCTTGCACATAACTAGACTACCGTTCCTGCTTTAACTTTTCCTTTTCAGGATCTTTGCATTGAGAAACTAGATAAAAGAACCAGTCTGATCTGGTTTCCTGTAGCTATGTGTACTACATTTTCTGTGATTGTCATGTATAATTGCCCTGAAACAGAGAAGATGATTGGGTAACTTTCAACAGTTTTGATATGTAAATGAAGCTGGTGTTTCTTGTATGGGTTTAAAAAGTCTGGCTATTTTTTTGATTCTGTGGTCTTGCATGACAATATGACGCTTCCCACACCAGTTCTGCTAATGGCTAACTTGTTTTCAGAGGAATGGATGTCTTAAAGCTCTTAATGTAAAACCGAATGGAAGATGTTGTTAGCCATTAACTGCTTGTAGATACTAATTAGCTTATTGGCTCAGATACTGGCTAAAATCACTCAAAACATAAGTAATAACTGTAAACCTATTAAATTTTAATATTCTGTGTTGTAGATAAGTCTTTCACATAGTAATACAGCATCAGTTTTCAAATGGTCCTTAGACAATACTGTTCATAAGAGTTGCCCTTTTGTTTTAAACTGCACAGCCTTTACATACTTAACTGTTATTGCAGTAAGTTCCGCTGCTGAACTTAATGCACAAACACTGTTTAAGAAAGCAGGAAATTATTATTTTGTGTATCTCTCTTTTCTCCTAGCAACCAGATAACATTGTTTATGTAATGGATGCTTCCATTGGCCAAGCTTGTGAAGCTCAAGCTAAAGCTTTCAAAGATAAAGTAGATGTAGCTTCTGTTATTGTTACTAAGCTTGATGGACATGCAAAAGGAGGTGGAGCTCTTAGTGCGTAAGTATTGTGACATAATAGCGTCCAACATCTGGCCATGCATGGATAACCACGAAATATGTTAGTTTCTCTCAGAAACCTGTCCTGTGGAAGTGTCAGTGTCACACTGCACAGAACCTGAGATTTAAGTCAGTAACAGTTATGTTCTTACCCTATTTCTGATGGATAAGACGACCCATTGATATTTAATGTCAGTCAGAATCAGATATTATGATGTACTTCCAACACAGTAGTGTGTATTGTCACATGTCAGACTTCTGTCTTCTGAGAATAGCATCAAGCAATTATATTTATTGCATCTTGTGTATCAGGAGTTTTTACCAAAAATATAAATTTGGACTTAATAGGTACGGCTTACCTGAAAAGTTTTGCTTCTCGTTTAATACCCAAGACTTTTTTCCAAAAGGGGAAAAACTCTAGCTAGCCATATCTAGTGGCCTTAAAACTGTGATGCAAAGCAAACTTCTGGATTGCCAGCATCCAACAATTTGGTAAAAAATTAAGTCTGCAGTCATACTTTCCCAAATTCCATTCTTGTTGGACTTACAGTGTGCTGTATCTTGACAGACTCTATTGACTAGAAAATGTTACATTTTATCTTCAGCCTTATATGATGGCATGTCAGACTAATCTCCAGCTGTGTTTCAATGATATAGCTTATATGGAGCTGAGATGATTTGTCCAAACAGTCAAAGTTAACTGACACCCACTTACTAAATCACTGTCTGACTTTGATCTTGTTAGAGTCCTAAAATGCCATCTGTATTTTGCTGTTATTTATAGTGTAGTGATGGAAAACTAAACGTAAGAGCAAAATGAAAATACCAAAAGCTTGTTCCAGTTGTCATGCGCTTGTATGTGTTAAGTCTGCTGTGTTTGGTCTATACTTTCTGTAGACTGGAAGCTGAGTTCATCTAAAAGCTAGTGCCAATGATTGATTGGTGAAAAGGTTCTGATTTTTCTTACGTCTAAGCTTTTTTCTGTGTTGAAAATGAGATTGTTGTCCATTGTAGGAGGTACCTTGAAGAAAAAGTAATCAATGGCTGTCTCATCTGACCTCCCAATATTAGAATAAAATGGAGATGATTTATTTTTCTTTCTTTCCTCTGAAGTTTCTTAAACTCAGCAATGAAAATAAGCAACTTCTGTTTCTGTTGATGATTTTTCAAAGCAGAGTTTGTATTCTACAAAGTACTAATTAGGGAAACATCTTGTCAGCTACTCCCAGCTACCCATCCTGAATGCTGGATGTTTTTGCATTAATAGTTTGAGTAAGAAAGATACTTCAGAGAGGATGCATTGTGTTGATGATGCCTAGCTGATGATGTTAATACGTGGTACAAAAGATGGGTGGTTTTTGAGAGGCCATTTCATAAAATATGTTTTACTGCAGAGTTGCTGCTACAAAGAGTCCTATTATTTTTATTGGAACTGGCGAACACATAGATGACTTTGAACCCTTTAAAACACAACCTTTCATCAGCAAACTTCTTGGTATGTACTGCATACAACTGTATTTAAAAGAAACTTTGAATTGGATAACAGAAAGTCAAAGTGTAATTTTTTTAATGCCAACTTTGGAGCTTTTTTTCCCCCCCAGGTATGGGCGATATTGAAGGATTGATAGATAAAGTAAATGAGTTAAAGTTGGATGATAATGAAGCACTCATAGAAAAGCTCAAACATGGTAAGTTACTCCCAAGGCCTGAATAGCGTGTGTATTACCATGACCTAATCATGGCAGGTTCTCTCAGGGATGTAGACCACTGAGCTAATTTGTGTTATATGTAGAGCCAAGTAACTTGTTTCCTGTGCATAGTTGAATGGTTATTCTTTCTCTAATAAATGTGGCAGGCAAGTAAATTGAGTTAGGTTTTTCAAGTGATAAGTCTGTCAGACTATAACTGTCTATAACTGCAGAATAACTAGCTTAACTCTTAAGTATGTGCCATCTAAAACAGTTTCGCCATGTTAATAGTGGAGAAGAGGTTTATTTATCTACTTATCTATGCAGTATAGTATTTACCTTGTTAATATAAAGAATAATAATTGAGAAAAGACAGTAAGACCAAAATGCTAGTGTGACTTTTGCTAATCTTCTTTTTTTTTGTTGTACTTCAGGTCAATTTACGTTAAGAGATATGTATGAACAATTCCAAAACATCATGAAAATGGGACCATTCAGTCAGATCTTGGTTAGTTATCCCCAAAATAATTTTATTTTATCAGATTTTCATTTATATTTGACAAACTTCTGCTGTAAACTTAGAACACTTCATTTAAACTGGTGCTAGAGTCTGTGCTCTATGTTTTTCAAAAAGGTGAAATGACTTGCCTACTGCAATACGTAAATGCTGAACTAAAACTCGCTGTCCATATTTCTGGCTGCGTAATTAAAGTTAGCTTTGCCTATTCTGACACAGCTTTTGTTTTCTATTTTTAAAACAAGGGTATGATCCCTGGTTTTGGAACTGACTTCATGAGTAAAGGCAATGAACAGGAATCAATGGCAAGGCTAAAGAAACTGATGACTATAATGGACAGTATGAATGACCAAGGTAAAACAAACTTCACTCGCTATTTCTTTTCTCCATTGTTGAACAAGCTTATTTACAGGGATCTTTTTGGAAACAAGTTGGACATAAGGCAGCATCTACAGTGACAGAAAACGACGAGAAGCACTTATCACTTAAAAATGGCAGAGAGTACATCTGTGTCTCAAACTTCCTGAATAAGTCTAAATATTTGGAGTGATACCTTGACAATTGCCTGTTGCTGCTCTATCTTGTGTAGAATAGGTGGGATTTTGAAGCATGCCATTGGAAATTAATGTATCTTTTTCATACTGTAACTGTGCTTCTTAAATTATTAACACTATATTTGCAAATTAAGAAGTTACATTCATCTTCAATCTGTCACTGCTGTCTGTCCTCCTACCCACCCTCAAATTTACTTGGTGACATAGCCTGGTCTCTGGAATTCAAGGTGTGTTGTTTCTAATCCACCCATAACTGTTGCAGAAGTATGCCCTTACCCTTGCGCTAAACCCATTAATATGGCTTAAGACCAAGTATGCTGAGAGCGTAATTTATTCGGGTGACTTTATCATGGTGATTAATGTATGAACACAGCTTTTTTAGTACTATTCCCTAGAATATTATATCTTGATTATTTATGTAAAATTCTGCATTGTCACTTCTAAAACTAGTTTTTTGTTCTCTGGCTCAAAACTGAATTCTCAGCAATAATGAGAACAAGTTTGCTACCAGCTGTACCAGATTTTAATGTCAGTAACTGAATGGATTTTTCTTTTCCACACTGTAATTGCAGAACTTGACAGTACAGATGGTGCCAAAGTTTTCAGTAAGCAGCCAGGAAGAATCCAAAGAGTAGCAAGAGGTTCAGGTGTTTCTACCAGAGATGTTCAGGAGCTTTTGACCCAATACACTAAGTTTGCACAGATGGTGAAAAAGATGGGAGGCATCAAAGGGCTTTTCAAAGGTAAAAAAAAACAAAACAAAACAAACCCAAACCCAAAACATTAATTAACTCAGTGGGGAGGTTACTTGATGTGTCAACACAGAGGAAATGTAAAAATGCAGATTAGGTGTTGGGAGAAGAGAAAGTGAGTTGTAGTTCACTCACTTTCATGATGTTTGAAAGCTCTTTTATGTAACTGGTAAGAGCTGCACTGTTCTTCATGACACTAATGTGTAACTTAGCAGTGAAAACTACTGTATTTTTGGCTTTATCAATGTAGACTTCATTACTACTACAACACTGACACTTCAGTCTGTTACGTGGGGTGCAGGGACTGTTGATCCTTAAATACTTTTAAGTGGCTGATGTGGTAACTTTTGATCATGGATTCGAATGGATTTGAATCTAGAATTAGGAGGTGAAATTCTGATTTATGTTATTTTTAGTCCCATATATTAATCCACTTTCTTAAGATTGCTTCTTTCAATTTTTTTTAGGCGGTGATATGTCAAAGAACGTCAACCCATCTCAGCTGGCCAAACTGAACCAACAGATGGCAAAGATGATGGATCCAAGAGTTCTTCATCATATGGGTATGTGTTGGCTTTTTACAGGTTCAAGAGAGGACTACCAATTGTGGTGGAGCATTTGAAATATAGAAGTGAGAAATGTGATGTGAGAATGTGTGCATTATATATCAGTATTAAGTATTTCTAGGTTTTCTAACAAGAATCAGAAAGTTTAGTCCATATGTTATGAATGCTTTGCACTTCCTAGTGCTTAATCTAGTCTCTTCATTTGGATTCAGCTCTCAGAATGAGCAATTGGAGTGGTGTCTGATGAAATGGTAAAGTGATGACTTTTGAAGAATGACTGTGGTAAAGCAAATCTTTTCCTAAACTTCCCTTCCCTTCTATTCTAAGTTTTGCCTCAAATAATTAAATTTGACAAGAGCAACTTTAAGTAAAGACTCTCCTACTGGAATCTTACTAATTGATAATGGTCATTCCCTCAAAGTTTTTTCTTTTGTCTAGATCTTAATGCACAGGTCATCTTAAAACCTACTTTAAGTCTTGAGTTTTGCGGACCTTTCTGTAATTACTCACTCATTTGTTGTCCATTTTCGATAGCCATTTAAACCTGGCTTGGGCTTTTGCATTTGTATATTATTGAAATAGCGTGTGCGCTCTAATGAGGCCTCAGAAGCAAGATAGCTGTGCTTTGGAGTTAATTAACACATCCATGTTCTCACTTATTTTCTGCAGGTGGCATGGCAGGATTGCAGTCAATGATGAGACAATTTCAACAAGGTGCTGCTGGGAATATGAAAGGCATGATGGGATTCAATAATATGTAAAGAAGCCTTAATAAAAATGGACTTGGTTGACTCTGTTGCAACTTCAGTGAAAGAGTTTGCTTTCTTCCTTTTTACAGTGATGGGGGGAGTGGTCTTTTGAAATCTTATTCAGGCTTCTCAGTTTCTACATCTAATTTCTGAAAACTATTTTTGCTTAAATTAGTTCCTCTCCACTAATACCTTATGGCACAAAAAGTAATTCAATTTAATAAAACCAAATCATGATGTAAAATTCTAATATTTAGAGACACTTTTTAATTGTTTACATCAAATGGCAGCCATTATATTTGTAAACAACCCTGATCTTTGGTTATAGTAACAGAAAACATCATAAATATACTGTAAAATAAAATGTTATAACAAGGGAATGGCCTGTTTCTTCAGTTCTTTCATAGCTGTATGTATGCTTCATCAGTATGTAATGAGATGATTTCCTTACTTTGATTTGTTTCTAATGACTATTGTAACTCATGTTTGGCATAGATACTGTAAGAATAATTCAGTATCTGAAATGTGCTGTTGCTGCTCAGGTGTTCTCCTTGGAGCATTTTTAGAAGGTGGATGTGCTGTGCTCAGGTTTATACAAAACTTTGTTCTC